TGTGCAAAGGGATGGCAGTCATCCCCATCTGCCTTGCCCCAAGATATAACTGTACTTTCAGGTTTGTTAGCTGCCCGAGGGGGGCCGTAGAAAAAAAGTATGTCTTCCACCAGGGAAAGAATCAATCAATACATAAGAATTCCTCTTAAATCCTTTGGTCAGTTTCCTAAATGTGATATCCCCTTCACCCACACAAAGCTATTCTTGTTGGGGGGTAGAAGTGGTTAGGTAACAGGATGGAACAACTTCTACTAACAGACTGCTCCCAAACTACCTCTTTCTCATTTGAGTTTCCGTACATCTCCCTCTCTTTCTCTCTCTTCCTCCCTCCTTTTCCTTCCCTTCCCTTCCCTTCCCTTCTCTTCTCTTCTTTCTTTCTTACTCTCTCTCTTAATTCTAACTAGAATGTGCTATGTAAAATATTCTCCAAGAACAACTGGAGAACTTTAAGCTTTCATATTAGCCACACAGCTCAGTGGAAGGTAGTGCTATAGTGCAAAGAGTATAGAAAGAGTGCATCAGAGTCACAGCTGGTTGCTCTCTTCATCCTGAAAGGTCTATGAATTTTCCATTGATTTTATTAAATTAATTCCTCCAACAGTGATATGAGAAAATGATGCTCTTAGGTCATGTACTGGCAGCTGCCATGAAGTCAGAGGTAAAGAGAAAACTTCTTCTCCCCCTAAAAAACCCATCTCCTTGTACATCCATGTAATACAAGGATGGAATCACATCTAAAATGTATTTTGAGAGTTTTGGTGAAAATGATTATACATAATACTGATTTGGGAATGAAAATTAAACCTTTTTATAATTTATGCTGTCACAGGGAAAGACAGGAGTTTTAAACCTGGGCTTGAACTAAGATTGTTACCATTGAAACCAGCTCCAAACAAGTCAGCCCACTTTAAAAAAAAAAAAAAAAAAATGCCCAGAACACCTTGTATGATTGAGTCTGTTAGTAGAAGTTGTTCCATCCTGTTACCTAACCACTTCTACCCCCAACAAGAATTATTTTTTTTTTTAGTTTGGTGATATCTTGAATTATTCCCAAACTTCCATTGTTCCCAATGACATAGGAAATCAGCAGACAGTCCCCTAAAGGTACCCTGGCTTGTGGGAGAAGGCTTAGAAGAGATTAAAAGCTCTTAGATGAAGGGCTAAGGACCCTGGATTCAACTGGTATCAGAGTTGTTCTCTTCTCCTTGGGAGAAGACCCTGTTTAGAAACCTAAAATTATGGAAATCTGCCAAGCAAAGAAGTCAGCCCAGGCCCTGAGAACTCAATGAAAATAAGGATCGGGCTCTTCTGAGAGCACCATCCCTGAGACACACAAGGGACAGCGACCCTACCCTTGTGCAGTTCTTGAACTCCTCTGCTGCTCCCCCTCCCACACAGTCTTCTAACCCCCCCCCCTTCTTCCTTCCTTAATTTCCATACGCTCTGTAGGAAAGAGGGGAACACAGAAGAGAATGAAACATCATATTTCTAAGTCTTGAAATGTTCAAGCATGGGACCAGAGGGCAGTTACTATTTCTGTCATAACACAAGATCCCTCCCAACCTCTTTCTTCTCAAACATGGTATTTTCTTGAAACATCAGTCTCAGGGTACAAGTGGTAGCTATCAAAGTTCAATTTTGGGGTCAGAAGTGCTTATAACTTTTCTTCCCATACAACATATCTCAAATCCATCACACAGTTAAATGGGATGCAGTCCCTCACTCGTTTGGAGTAATTTTGGAATCACATCCAATATGTATTTTGAGAGTCCCAGTGAAAATGATTATACATAATGCAGATTTTAGAATGAAAATTAAACCTTTTTTATAATTTATAAATTATATACACAAAAAATTGAATTATAAAAAACTCCCCAGAGCTTCTAATGCCTCACTTGTATAGACAGTGTAACAATCCCACCACTCATCTGTACTTCAATCACCCACCTTTCTCTCCACTCCTCTTTCCATGTTGATATCTTAGGGAGGCTTTTAGACACCATCCTGCTTCCATAGTTAGGTTACTCCATATTTAAACTTCTCAATGAATTGCTGTTTCCTACAAAATAAAGCCCAAACTTCCAAGTAGCACAGTAAACTACCAAGAGTTCCCCAGATACACTGCACTTTAGAGTCTCAGGGTCTTTGCATTTGCTGCCGCCTGCCTAGAATGCTGTCTCCCACCTTCACCTGGGCAGCTCCTATTAGTATTTCAAAACTCAACTGCAGTGTTACCACTCCAAGCAACTCTCCCCAATTCTTCCCATTCTGGATTTTAGATGACCCTCCATTCTGCTCCCTTAGTACTTTGTGAATTTATCTGTTATAAAAAAAAAATACATTGAATATTAATTATCTTATTTATCCACTTTCTTTCCCAACTAGACTGAGAACTTATTGTAAATAGAAACTATACCATTTGCCTCTGTCCCCAGTAGGCTCTCTGGCACATAGTAGGAGTGCATAAAGCATTTACTGAATCGAGACACTTGTGGTCTAGGAAGGAAGGCTGAGGGTAACAAATCTGTAATGAGGCATGATACTTAACAGAGTAAGGAGCAGGGACAATGAACAGAGACTGGACACCTCTGCTTGGGAACAGGATAGATTTAAGGAAGGTGCTCTAAGCAGAAGAATCTTGGGCTGGCCTTGAGAAACACCAGGAGATCACCAAGGCTATGAGGAGGAGAAGGCAAAGAAAACAGTGGCACTTGAGAGAGTCTGGATGCCTCAGCATGACACGTTTGGGAAGACTTCCCTTAGAAGGTGATGATAAGAAGTAGAGATGGGAGCCTGGCAGGGTGGCACATGCCTGTAATCCCAGTGGTTCTGAAGGCTGAGGTAGCAGGATTGCAGGTTCAAAGCCAGCCTCAGCAAGGGTGAGATGCTAAGCAACTCAGTGAAACCCTGTCTCTACATAAAATACAAAAAAGGGTCAGGGATGTGGCTCGGAACTTAGGTGCCCCTGAGCTCAATCCCCAGTACCCCCCCCCCCCCGAAAAAAACAAAACAACATAAGCAGAGATGGGGAAAGAGTGGCCACAGAATATTGGAATAATCCAAGTAAAAATCCAAATGGATCTAGTCAGTAGAGGACAGGACAGTTGCAGAGATGTTGTGGAAATAAGGAGTCCAGCATGACCCCCATGCTCTGGCTTTGGTAAATGGTGGTACACTAACTAGGATTAGAATTTAGGAGGAAAAAAACTGCCTTGGGAGAAAGGCCTAAGCCCCAGATGGTGCTGTTGAGGTTCAGTTACTGTTGGACATGCAGTAGAAGTTTAGTAGTCAGTTGGATATACTATGGGTCTGAGGCTCAAAAGAGAGCCAAGCCAGGAGGGAAGCCTATATGTAACCTCTTTGGAACTTTTGTTTCATTCTATAATTTAATACTGTGCCATGAAATTTCAGTTGTAGGTGAGAATGGTGGGGAGCAGTTGGGACAGATAATTGGTCCCACTTCAGCCACTGATTTAGCTACATAGCCTTGGGCAAGGTATTCGACTCCAGGTTGTACCTGTTGTCTTGGAGGAAAGGAGAAAACTAAGGAAAGCTGAAGAAAGATCTTGGCCATAAAACAAATTTAGTCCTGTCTTCATGGTTCTTCTGGGGAATATGGAAGTCATGCCAGTAAGGCTTTCCTCTTGCACTGCCCCAAAACCGTGCTTCCAAAGTCCACCAAATGCACAAAGGGATGTCTTTACCTTCATTATACTGGTAAGGGTAAGGATCCCTCGTGGAGTCCTTCTGAAGTAGATACATCACTTCCTCAACAAACATGTTTCCTCCCCAGACTTTGGGGGTCTTATCTCAATGCCCTCCTGCCTTTGTGTGGCAACTTTTTGTTCCTGTTCCTGCCCAACCTGGGTAATTGTTTTGGCAGTTCCGTCTCCATTACAGAGTTTAGGCTGAGAGCTGCTTTAAGGGCCCCAGCTAAAATAGCATTTTTGCAAAGCAACTCATTGTGTTTTTCCTGGCTAATTTGTCTTGAATAACTTGCAATGGAATGAGACATATTTTCATTCAAAGGTTCCTGGCAGTAACAGTATTGTGGGAATTACATGATGTGCTCATGGTTGAACCTCTTTTATTTCAAATATTTATTCACAAAGGCAAAATGGGAATTGCTTGTGGAACCCAGGCATTTTTGACAATTCAGGAGGGAATGCTACTTAACCAAACAGCTTCTGGCAACCAGGTGTGAGCATGGCAAGGACTTAATGAGGGCATTAGTCATGTGTGAAGAATAAAGGAACTCATTTTTTAAATCAAGGGACTGTGATAGAAAACGCATCATCAAACTTGAATATCAACCAACCACTGGTTACAATGAGGGCAATATTGCAAGAACACCCAGGGAAATTTAAGTGATACATAATAAGAATCCTCAGAGAGGAACAAAAAACATTCATTCCCTCCAAAATGCTGAATTAAATACTGCACCAAGCTGAAAGCTGGCAGTATGTTCAATTAAAAGGGGTGGTACCAGGGATTGAACTCAGGGGCATTCAGCCACTGAGCCACATCCCCAGCCCTATTTTGTATTTTATTTAGAGTCAGGGTCTCACTGAGTTGCTTAACACCTCATTTTGGCTGAGACTGACTTTGAACCCTTGATCCTCCTGCCTCAGCCTCCCAAGATGCTGAGATTACAAACATGTGCCACAGTGCCCGGCAACATATTTACTTCTTGATTCAAAGATGCCACATTTTTTTTAATTGTGTGTCAGACATATTTTCTAATAAATAGTTTAAGTACAGCATCTGCCATATTGGCCAAGGGTAGGTGGGATAGCACCACAACTTCCGCCGTCTAATTAAGTTTAGGGAAATTCAGAATTCAGCCAGGGATGGGTCTCTTCTAAGAAGCAGCAGACGGCAACCAAACTACTCAGGGTCTCTTAGGAAACGGATTTTCTAGGGATGCTCTTTTTAATCTGTAAAATGCAACTTGAGTAAAAAACCATCTTTGACTGACTTAATGTTTCTTTAATTAACAGGTAGGAGATCAAATCATTGAAATCAATGGGGAAAGCACAAGGGACATGACACACGCCAGAGCAATAGAACTCATCAAATCTGGAGGAAGAAGAGTGAGGCTGCTGCTAAAGAGAGGCACAGGACAGGTCCCAGAGTATGGTGCGTTTCATGTTTTCATTCACCTTTTTTCTGCTTCTGTGTACCGTAAATGCCTAAGCTTATTTACAAAATGACATCAATTCTCTATTTCTACCTAAATATATATTTGGCTTTAAATAGATATATATGCACATATGTATATTTAAGCCCAAGGTGTATATGTGTGTGAGCTCTTTCTTTTGCTCCCTCAATTAGAGAATGTTTTAAATATCAAATGTATGACTTTCAGGGCATCTCTGAGCGTGCTAGGAGATCCAGCACCACTTACACATCAGAACATTTGCAATTTGGCTGATAGTCCTCTGTTCATTTGAGTCTACAGTAATTTGTGAAACATTTCATGACCAGACTGTCCCATAGGATTTTTAAGTGGGGCCAGGAGACAAGCAAGGATACATCTTCAGCTGTGAAGTTTAAAAGGTTAACTTTAGTTCATGCAATGGTTGCATGCCTTTAGAGATTATCCCGAAAACTCACTCCTACGTTGTATTTCTATATGCTTTTGAGAAAAAGCTTTAAAGTACATTTTAGTTCATAGATTTTTGTCTTTAAAGATTTTTAAATCTTTAAAGTTATTTCCAGCATCCCATGACAGATCTCACCAACAGTGTAACAGTAGTCTATCAGAAAGAACTGAGTGGTCAGGACACAAAAAGCCTTAAAACCTGAGCTGGTCCTCAAAACAATGCAGAAAGCCACAGAGAGACAGACAGACAGACCTGAGAGAAGAGCAGCACAGATAATCCTATTCAGAGACAGACAGACCTGAGAAAAGAGCAGCACAGATAATCCTATTCAGGGTGGGGAAACAGAATTTAACTGCTGACATGAACAATGAGCTCAAATTGCTGATGTGCGTGCGCACAGTGACTCACTTTCACCCTTCCAACCTCTACCCAAAAGAATTTCCAAGAGTGTTTTTCCCTTTCAGTTTGTGCTTTTTTTTTTCATACATTTTCTAAATAACTAACATCTCCATATTTAGCAGGAAAGATCATTAAGTTAAGTTGAAATAGCTGAATTCAACGGCCCTTAATAAAGATATTGTGTTTCTGGAGAATTGTTTGTGCTCTACAAAAAGATGGCAAGCCCTCACATTGAGTCAGAGAGCATTCAGGCATTTCTGTGGGACTGGCTATAGTGCTGAGGAAATATTTTATCCCAGGTTTCTACCTTTAATGCTTGAATCTAATGAAGTATTTTTGAATATTAATATTAGCAAAAAGCATAGGCCCAATTTCCTAAGTAGCACCTGCATTAATCCCTTAGTAAAGAATCTGAACTCCTTGAATAAAATAACTTTTTTCACCCTAGAGCATTAACTAATTCAATAATATTGAAGTGACCTGTGAAATTCTATCACTTCGGAAAAATACCTCATTCTCAAGCAATGTTTCACCCCATGGCAATACTGGATACTTAACTATGCCAAGGAATTTTCAGAGGGCTACTCCCTTTCTTATTGTTCCAACAAGTTAACCTTTTAAAAATTAATCTGACTGACATCGTTTTCATTCTTTAGTTGAGCCACTATTTGGCCCATGCTTTCAGCATCCACCACACCAGATGTTTGTCTATAGTGCACTTAGGACAACTGACCACCCTGTGGCTTAACTCAAACTGTAATGAGTAAGTATGAAGCCACTTTAAATTATCTTTAATAAAAACACGTTTTGGAACAAGGCAAAAATCTAAGATCATATCAATATTATTTCATTAATTCCAACATCATCCAAAAATAGCTGGCTAAGTTCTCAAATTAATCAACACAGGGAACATTTAAAATATCTGGGCATGCTTTTGAGAGGACAACTGCCATTATTACTACCTATAGCAGTATCATGAATTTTTTTCTAAATATATTTTTCTAAAATGTAGCATTTAGTTGTACTGTCTGGTAACGTCAGAGCTTATCAGCTACTTTAGATGTTAAGTTGACATGGATTTTGACTATATAATTAGTTCAGAAATGATGCCACAAAACAAATTTCTTTCCACATTTTTTTATTGGCAGTTTACAGTTGTACATATGGTGGGATTTGTTGTTATATATTCATACAGGCACACAATATAACACACAAAAGAAAAATTTAACAGAGTAGACCAATCTCCTTTAGGGCAGTAAAAGAATAGTCATAAACTGAGTAAACTTTATTTCTTCGGGAAAATCTTAAGTTGAAAGATGCATAGGATACATGAGAAAACAGAAAGATGAGGGATCACATCAGCATCTTTGAGGAAGATGCCATCAAACAATATTTCTGGAATTTCATAGCAACTAATGGGGAGAGGGGATGATCAGGAGTCCCAAGATCACCCCTTCATTCAGAGATTTGCCAGGAGGGATTCCGGGGCACAGAACACAGTTGTTCTCATGGCTAAGATTTCTTACAGCAATGTAATAAGGATGCACAGTGGGATCTATGAGAAAAAGATTTAGGCAGGGTCTGGAAGCTTCCTTATGCTCTCTCCTCTCTTCTCTCCCTCTCTTCATTTCTAGTTCTCCCTCTCCCCTGTGAAAAGTCACCCAGAGCGTACTTTGCCCCCCAGCAACAAAAACGCAGGGATGGACCTGGGAATTCATTAGCAACTCAGCATGCCAGCTCTTCAGTGGGGCTTGTCAAGCAGGCAGCCTCTGCCTGGCACACACCAAAATTCCAGACTCCCAGAAGGAAGGCATATGTTCGACACAAACTGCATCATTTTTACAAACAGTTGGAGTACAATGAGACACCCCAATCATTTAGCAATAGTTTTACATCAGCATTGGGGACAATTTACCAGTCATGTTCCCAGACACCAGGCCTGGACCAAAATTGTAAGCAGCCCTCCTAAGGAGAGCTGTCTCTGGCCTGTGATGTGAAGTCTTCTGCATCAGAAGCCAGACAAATATGCATCCACATTCATGACTCTACAAATGACCCCAGTTTACAAGGAAGGCCCAAAACTAGAAACTCAATTTCTCCACCTTCGGTTACATAGACTACATACTGAAACAGACTTTAATGTCCAAGATAAGCTAACGTGTATTTTAATAAAATTCTCGAGAGGAAAGGATAAAAAAACACAATAACAGAAAAATAACAACAAAAGAAGATGCTTGAGTTTGTCAATAGATAGAAACAAGCACATAATCTACTTTGTCCAGACGGACCCTAATCACAGAAGAACTGAGTTTTCTGTCCAATATTAATCTAAACCTGTTTGTTTTCTTTTATTTGCCTTTTAAGTTTCTAAACTTGGCATAAAATCCATCCTTAAAGGATTGTTAAAGGGGGTTCTCAGAGTCCACAGGAAACATACTTGGCCTTCAGGCTAAGCCAGCCTGAAGCGGAGTAGATTCTGAGGATGAGGAGAGAAGGAACAGTTGATGCCGGCTGCCAGTGATTTCCACAGCACTCCCTCTGAGACCAGAATTCAGAACAGCTTGGAAGCAAGACCCTTATCTGGATTTACGAACTTGTCAAGGAAAAGCTGATCTCAGTCAAGAGAAATGCAAAACTCCAGCTCTGAGTTCTTAAGGTGATCTGTGACAGAGAGATAAGCACAGGTACAATTGAAAGGGAAAAAAAAAAAAAAAATACCAAGGGCAGTCTGTCAGATCACTGCTTAGCCAAAACCTGTGTGAAGCCAAGTGAGGGAGTGAGAACAGGAGTAAGTACACTGCTGCAAATAGGCCATCCATAATTACCATAAGACTCATCATCAGGTGACACCTTGGCCAATTCAGAGGTGTAAATCAACAAATGCAGCCACAAAGGCAGTGGCTGCACAGAGAGGCTGTCAGCAGCTGAAGGGGAGTTGGAAAAGGATAAGGGCTTTGAAGGAGAAGTTGCTTTTATAGTTAAGTCCTTGAAAGAGGGAAGCTCAGGAGATAGATACTTCAACTCTACTCTAGTCCTCAGGATAAGAATTTGTTGATTATAAACTCAGTGGCAAGTGTGAGTTCCTCTTCTCTGACATGCATCTCAGCAACTGGCAGGCATAATGAAACCTACCTACTGAGAAAAGAATCAAAAGAGGAGACATCAAAAGCAGTGCCCTCCTTGGCACTGGTTGTTGCTATTCAAATTAAATCTAAAAAGTTGAGAGAAAAGAAAGGGTGTATCATGGTTTTAAAACTGCACAGGCATAAATTATACAAATTAGCTCCCACCTTGAAATACAGGTGTCCTTCATTAGCATTCAGGGCACACAGCCACACAGCCAGGGCAAGGTAAATAGAGGTGCCACTGGATGAAAAAAAAAAAAAAATCCAACACAAGCAGTTCAGAACAAAGGGGAACATTTCCCTTGGTAACATTTGCTGTTAGGAGTTGATTGAAATAAAGCAAATATGCTTTTCGGTCTTGGTTGGTGCTCTGGCCTGCTTGTTCCTTTAAAAAGCAACAGAGCGGGTCTTTATGAATAGAATACTGAAGAGAGTCCAGTTGTCAGTGGGAGCCTCAGTGGTCTTTAGGAGGCCAGGCAGGGTTAAAAAGGATGAAGCCAAATTCTCACAATGTAAATGGCCCAGTGACAACAAACACCAAATGCCCACACAACCATACAGAAATAGCCAATCTGCAAATTATACTTCTGCCTACACTTCCATTTTCAAAGTTAATTGCATCTTTAATAGGTTTTGACTTGATTACAGGCCCTTGGTAAACAAAATTGTTTACATTTTATAAGTATAATAAAAACGCACTAAGTAGAGAAAAGATCTATCTGAGCTAGTGACTATCGCTGAAAAAATGAATTGGCCAAATACGTGAGTTAAAAGTCTTCCTTTAATCAGTAAATTAAAATGACTTACAGCCATCATATCCGGGCATCAGTTTCAGCAGAACTGGTCCTTACTTAGATGGCAATAAGCAGTGCTTGTTTACATGTTCTTCTTAATAACATATACTAACATAGAAATAAACATACCCTTATAATCTTATTTATAATTATTTGCTCAGCAATTCCTTTCTTCCTTCTGATCATTCAAACCTAAATTCCAGACACTATGCCCT